TATAAAGAAAATATTGGAGGACTTTAAAACTGAGATCAACAACAATACAGTCATTGTAGGGAATTTTTTTTTAATTTTTATTTATTTATCTTTAGAGGGGAAGGGAAGAAGAGAGGGAGAGAAACATCAATGTATGGTTGCCTTTCATGCATCCCCTGCTGGGAACTGGCCTGCGGGGAACCTGCCTGCAACCCCAGTATGTGCCCTGACTGGGATCGAACCGCGATTGTCTGGTTCGCAGGCCCGCGCTCAATCCACTGAGCTACACCAGCCAGGGCTTGTAGGGAATTTTAACACCCCACTGTCAACAACAGATAATTCTTGCAAAGAATCAACAAGAATACTGTGGCACTGAATGACACTCTATATCAAATGGACTTATTTGGTATTTACAGAATATTTCACATCACAAAAGCAAAAGATACATTTTTCTCAAATGCACATGGATCATTTTCAAAGACAGACCACATAGTAGGACACAAAATAAGCCTCACAAATTCAAGAAAATTCAACTCATAACAAGCATCTTCTCTGATCACAAAGGCTTGAAACTAGAAACCAATCTCAAGGAAAAAACTCAAAAATTTCAAATACATGGAGACTGAATAACAGGCTATTAAATAATGAATGGGTAAACAATAAGATCAAGAAAGAAATCAAAAAGTATCTTGATACAAGCAAACAAAAAAATGAACACACATCAACCCAAAACCCTTGGAACCCAATGAAGGCAGTCTTGAAAAGAGAGTTCATAGCAATACAGGCCTAGCTAAAGAAGAAAGAAAAATCTCAAATACACAACCTAACACTACAAGAACTAGAGGAACAACAACAAACAAAGCCCAGAGCGAGTACAAGGAAGGAAATAATCAAGATCAGAGCAGAATAAATAACATAGAAACTAAAAAACAATTCAAAGGATCAATGAATCCAGGAGTTTATCTTTTGTTCCTGAAAAGATAAACAAAATTGACACACCTTTTACCAGAGTCATCAAGAAATAAACAGAGAGGACCCAAATAAATGAAATCAGAAATGAACTAGGAGAAGTCACAACCAATACCACAGAAATATAAAAGAGTGTAAGAAATTACTACAAACAACTATATACCAAAAAAATTGGACAACCTTGGACAAAATGGACAAATTTCTAGAAACATACAATCTTCCAAAACTGAGTTAGAAAGAAGCAGAAAGCCTGAATAGACCAATAACTAGTGAAACAACAAGTAATCACAAAACTTCGTCACACAAAAGCCCTGGACCAATGGCTTCCCAGGTGAATTTTACTGAACATTTAAAGATCTAACTCCTATCCTTCCCAAACTATCCCAAAAAAATTCAAGAAGAGAGAAGTCTCCCACACTCTTGTTACGGGGCCAATATTATCCTGATTCTAAAACCATGTAAAGACACAACAAAGAAAGAAAACTTCAGGCCAATATCTCTGAAGAACATAGATGCTAAAATCCTCAACAAAATAATGGCAATTTTGATCCAGCAATACATTAAAAAGATCATACATCATGATTAAGTGGGATTCATGCCAGAAATGCAAGGATGGTACAATACTCACAAATCAATAAACATAATATACCACATAAACAAAATGAAAGACAAATCACCTGATCACATCAATAGATACTGAGAAAGCACCTGATAAAATCCAGCACCCATATATGATGAAAACACTCAGCAGAGCAGGAAGAGAGTGAGTATACCTCAATATAATAAAGATCATATGTGAGAAACAAATGCCAATATCATACTCAACAGGTAAAAATTAAACGCTTTCTCCTTAAGATCAGGAACAAGACAAGGGTGTCTGCTTTCACCACTCTTACTTAAGATAGTGCTGGAAGTACTAACCACGGTGATCATACAAGAAAAAGAAATAAAAGGCATCCAAAATGGAAAGGAAGAAGTAAAACAGTTATTATTTGCACATGACATGATACTGTACATAGAAAACCCTATAGTCTCCACCAAACACTACCTGACCTAATAAGTGAATTTGGCAAAGTAGCAGGATACAAAGTCAATACTCAGAAATCAAGGGCATTTTTGTACACCAACAGTGAAATATCAGAAAGAGAAACTGGGGGGAAAATCCCAATTACTGTAGCAGCAAGAAAAACAAAGTACCTAAGAAATAAACTTAACTAAGGAGGTTAAAAACCTCTACTCAGAGAACTACAGAAGAAAGAAATCAAGAAAAACACAAATAAATGGAAGCATATATCATGTTCATGGACTGGAAGAATTAACATCATTAAAATGTCCATACTAGCAAAGCAATCTATAGATTCAACACAATTCCTATTAAAAGACCAATGGCATATTTTACAGATCTAGAACAAATATTTAAAAAACTTATATGGAGCCGAAAAAGACTACAATAAGCATCACCAATCTTGAGAAAGAAGAACAAAGTTAGATGGATCACAATAACTAATATCAAACCATACTACAAGACCACTGCAATCAAAACAGTCTGGTACTGGCAAAAGAATAGAAGCATAGATCAATGACACAGAATAGGGAACCCAGAAATAAACACATGGTTAATTAATATTTGACAAAGGCATGAGCATACAATAGAATAAAAATAGCCTCTTCAACAAATGGTGTTGGGAGACCTGGACTGGCACATGCAAAAAAAAAACTAGATCACCAACTAACACCATACACCAGAATAAACTCAAAATGGATAAAGTCAAATGTAAATTGTGACACCATAAAAGTCCTAGAGGGAAACCTAGGCAGTAGAATTTCAGATATTCCACGTTGCAATATTCTTTATGATATATGTTCTAGGACAAGGGAAATAAAGGCAAAATTAAACGCAACTACATCAAACTAAAAAGCTTCTGCACAACTAAAGAACCATCATTAAAGTGAAAAGGGAACTGACTGCAGGAGAACATATTGGCCAATGATCTATCAGACAAGGGTTTCATCTGCAAAATATATAAAGAACTCATCTGACTCAACACCAGGAAAACAAACAATTTAATTAAAAAATGGGCAAAGGACCTGAATACACATTTATCCAAGGAGGACATACATATGGCTCATACACATATGAAAAAATGTTCAACATCACTAGCCATCAGACATGCAAATTAATACCACAATGAGATATCACCCCACACGGGTCAGAATTGTCATGATTAATAAATCAACAAGCAAGTGTTATTGGTGGGAATGAAGACTAGTGCAGCCACTGTGGAAGACAGTATGGAATTTCCTCAAAAACTAAAAATGGAACTGCCTTTTGACCCAGCAATTCTGCTGCTGGGAATACACTCTTAAGAATCCCAAATCACCAGTTCAAATGAATGTATGTACCTCTATGTTCATAGCAGCACAATTTACAACAGCCAAGTGCTGGAAACAGCCTAAGTGCCCATCAGTAAATGAGTGGATTAAAAAACTGTGGTACAATGGAATTCTATGCAGCAGAGAGAAAGAAGGAGCTACTACCCTTCGCAACAACATGGATGGAACTGGAAAGCATTATGCTGAGTGAAATAGGCCAGGCATTGAAGGACAAATACCATATGATCTCACCTTTGACAGGAAGCTAAACAAAAAAACACACAAGCAAACAGAATAAAAACAAAGACACTGAAATAGAGAACAAGTGGGCAGTGACCAGAGGGGAGAGGGAAGGGAATTTAAGGGGAAAAATTGAGAGGGATTTTGAGGAACAAGTATGAAAGACACAGGGATGAGGGATGAGGACTGGGGAGGGTAATGGGAGGGAGGGAGGGAGACGGGGCGGGGAGGGGCTGGGATGGGAGAAATAGACAAAAAAATGTACTTGAAAAATAATTAAATAAAAATTTAAAAAAATAAAAATAAATAAATAAAATCTTTAAAAAGAGAAAAAATTTAAAAAATTAAAAACTGTGGTACATTTACAAAATGGAATACTACACAGTAGAAAGAAAGAAGGAACTCCTACCTTCTGTGACATCATGGGTGGAACTGATGAGTATTATGCTAAGTGAAATAAGCCAGGTGGTAAAAGACACCATATGATCTCACGTATAAGAGGAATCTAATACCAAATAAACATATGATCTCATGTATAAGAGGAATCTAATACCAAATAAACAAACAAGCAAAACAGAACCAGAGATGTGGAAACAGGGACCAGACTAACAGTGCCAGAGGAAAGGAGAAAGCGGAGGAACAGAAGAAAGAAGGGATAGGGACTAGTCAAAGACCATGTACAAATGACCCATGCACATGGGCAATGGTGTGGGATGGACTGTGGGAGTAGGGGTTGAGGGAAATGGGGGGGCTGGGCAGGAGGAAAAGGGGAAGAAACTGGGACAATTGTAATGGAATAAATAAGAACTTTTTAAAGAAATGTTTTTAAGCTTATATATTCAAAGAATCATTTGCCAAAGCAATGTTTCCTGAATTCAAGATATACTTTCAAGAGAACAAAATATTTGATCTAAAAACTTTAATCACAGCTGATAAATAAGCAGTCACAGATTGAGTGTTTATAGAATCATGATTTTTTAAGCTACAAGGAGCATGACTGAACACCACAATTTCCGTACGACTATCCCAATGTAGACCTGATTTCACAGCATTAATAGTCCCTCCTTCACTGTCATAAGTGTGTTAATTTAAATTAAGACCTAAACAGACACATTACCTATAAGGGCTTTTAATGCTATTTAGCACAAAGAGCTCATTCACTTTTTCACTCAACCCACATTTACTAAGCTCTAAGTAGATGACCATAGTCCCCATGTTCTCGAAAAATGCACGTTTTTTCCACAATCAAAATATAAATGGCTAAGTGGATTTTCCCTACACATAAAGTATAAACCTGAGAACAAACTAAATATGGAAAAGAATCAGAATTTTTTCTACAAGGTAAATATAAACCAAACTGACAGGAAAAAAATAAATTTTGAACTGTAAAAAATAAAAATATAAAGATATTCACAAGTATAAAATAAAAAAACCTTTACCTGCTGCCCTGTAAAGTATTTTAGGTTCAAAAAATATACAAGGATTTTTATCTTCTATGCATGACAAAAGAAGTCCCTTGGCCTGGAAAGGGCTTCTGGGCACCACCACCTGCAAAAACAGATTTTTTTAAAAGGCAGTTTTAGTAAAACTGTATCCCAGTAAACTCACTTATAAGAAGGGTTGATATTTAAATAATTAATTGTTACTAATTAAAAATAGAAATCTGGCATTTTAGCCTAATTACCATTTTTATAAAAATTTATATTCTGTCCCCAAAAATTCAACTTGTTCAACATTTATTAGATGCCTATCATGTTGTGATGACTAAAACTGCTGTTCTCTTAAGGAGCTAAACGTGTGTGTGCGTGTGTGTGTGTGTGTGTGTGTAAAATATAGGATTCTGCAAAGAGCATTCATCAAAACAAGTTGTCAATATCTTTCTGTATTTATCTATAAAGAAATATTTTCTACTAATACTCTACTGCTAATTTCGAAGGGCGTGCAATTCTCTTCTCCAATTTCAAACATAAAAGTCTCCTTTCCATGAACAACATGATTTCCTATTTGCAGAAGTAATCCACTGAACTTTATCACCTGGGTACTATAATGTCTAGTTATTACAAAGCTAAAAGAAAAGTGTGGGTACTGCACGCTTTGTGTTGACAGGAAAGGGCTCTAGAACCTTCTCCAGAATGAGGTTGATAATGAGGAAGAGGACAACGACAACAGGTAGCACATGTGTTGACTAGGCCAAGAACTCTATGTGGACTAATTGTTCACAGCAACCCCACAAGGTACCTATTATTATTTTTCCAATTTAGAACTGCAGGCTAAAGCTTAAAGAGAGATCACCCAAGGTTACATCACTTGCTAGACCAGGGATTCTCACCCAGTTCTGACTGACACCACAGCTCAAGCTCTTAACTTCTACATCATTTGCCTCAAATTACTTTACAAACTAGTGTCTAATTTTTGGTTACTGTTAAATAACTGCATAATGACAAGAATTACATAGGAAGAGTTACCATTAAAATAAACCTGAATTTATCACAAAGGCTCAAATAAGGTTCCTTGAATCAAGCTATATTTGGCTTTCAAACTCATTTTCATACCATTTCTAGGATTTTTATTTAAAAAGTAAAACAGCAGATCAAATCTCACTATTTCATTTTCCATAAAGACTGTTGAACACACTGTTTACTTTTCTTCATCTGCTTCCTTCATGTATTTAGCCTTTTGTACTACATGTATATTTTCATTTAGGATTTAAAAAAAGAAAAAGAGGGAGAAGTAGGGAAGGTAGGAGATTGGGAGAAAAGATCTGTTCTTAAAAGTACTGGGTGACATCATAAACGGTAAATGTGAATCAATGTTCAGCTTAAGCACAAATAAAACTGTCACCTCAAATGTGGTGACAACTTACCATTTCCAGCTCACATTGAAAAAATTATGCAATTTGTATTCAACTGAGAAAACTTTATGACTTTGCTTTAGTAGGAAAAAAAATAAAACATAAACACATCCACAACCCATTTATGTTATCAAAAAACAGACACACAGCCCTGGGTGGACATATTTATGTGTTTTTACGATGATTCCCTGGAAGCTCTCCAGTACACAGAACTAAAAAAGGAGATAATATAAAAAATTCAGACAAAATATGCAAATATTTTTATTGAAAGATTTAAGCTGTTGTAGAAACCTAAGACTGTTGTGCAAGGCTATAAAAGAAAGATACTTCAAAATTAATTGGTTGAGCAAATATTACCTTACCTGGAGTGAAAAGCACTCCTAGCTAACGAAGGCTTCTTTTAGTCTACTTAAAAAGAAATACACTAAAAAGCAAGTCTTATTCCTCTGACTATGAATTAAATAGTACATTTATTAATTTACCCCAGAATCCATTAAGTGAACCTAATGGATTTAGGTTTAAAAGAGGGGAAAGATAAACCAGCTATGTTCTTAGTCTTATTCTTTGAAGCCTGAAATTAGTATCAGGGTCAAGCCAGGTGCTACTTCAAAATCAATATTCTGTAAACCTCAGCAATGGATTAGTGGATCTAAAAAATACTAATCTCTCTTAAAAAGAACAATTATACGAATTCCAAAAATCTTCTTTGCTTTCCTCTAGATAAGCTTATTAGTTAATATTAATACTGTACAATGAACCAAAATGGGAACATCAAATGGAGATCAAATAAAGTACATAAATAAGGATACCTTGATTCCTGGACAGTGGGCAAAAAAAGCTTCAGGACTCTGAGAATGATAGAGAGCCCCATGGCCTACACAGCCCCAGGGGGAACGGATGGTGAGGCTTCCACAGTTAAAAAGATCCCCAGAGCGGTATCGATACTTGGCAGCTTCATTAACAATCTGAGGAGGGAAAAGAGAAGGGGCATATCACAACAAGAACTTTATTCTCATCCATTTTATTGAAACATGTGATTAGATCTTTAATTTAATTTTTTAAATTTATTTAATTATTGTTCAAGTATAGATCTTTAAATACATGCTTATAACAACATAACTTGTAATGCACTTGCTGAAAGATAACAAAAAGTTGCTAAGGTAGTGGGTAGAAGACTGGAAGCAAAACTTCAGTACTCCATTGACTTACTCAGAAATGATCAGTTATAGTAAAATGCAGTCTTCTTACCTGATCAAAAGCAGGGAAAATATAATCTGCAAACTGAATTTCTGCAATGGCAGTAGCACCAGTGACTGCGATTCCAATCCCAAATCCAACGATTCCTTGTTCACACAATGGGGTATTAAAAACTCTATCTTTTCCTTAAAAAAAAAAAAAGAAGAAGAAGAACAGAAAGTCATTTTACATTGACAGATCAGAGTAATGTAATGCACAATACGCCTGAGAAGTCAATGAGTTAGCAATGGTGAGATGGAAGGGGGAAAAGCATGAAACAGGCAAAGGAGATAGAAAATAACTACTATGGTGGCTGATTCAAATGCAAACAGTAATTATACTAACTGTAAACAATCGAAATGTTACAATTAAAAGACAGATTGTCACACTGGGATTTTAAAAAAAGGCAAAACCCAACTACTTCAAAGAAAATAATAAGGAAATCAGAAAGCTGTAAGTAAAAAGAAGGAAAAATACAATGAAAAACCAATGCAAAGAAAGCTGTCACTAAATTGATGGCAGACAAAGAAGACTTTAAAAGAAAAGGCATTGCCAGAGATAAAAAGTGAAAATTCATTCTTTAAAGGGTTCAATTCACAAGGAAGACAAAATTCTAAATTTAAACCCATGTAACAACATGGGCTCCAAATAAGAAGAAACATCATAATTAAAAGAAGAAATAGATAAATTCCCAATAAAGTGGGAAATCTTACTATACCAATATCAGTAACTGATGGATAAAGCTTACTGAAATAAAAAAAGTAAAAACTAAGTAAGATTTGAACATCATTAACAAATATGACTTAACTGAAAAATACAGGACACTATACCTAACAGCTAGGAATACAAATCTTTTATTTATTTTTTTATTTATTTTTTTAATATTAAATTTTATTTAGTTACTTTTCAAGTACATTTTTTTTATCTATTTCTCCCATCCCACCCACCCCCCGCCCGGTCTCCCCCCTCTCTCCCACAAATCTTTTATAGGTAAACAAAGAACACTAGTATTAATTGACAATAGACTGGGGTTAGGATTATAGATTAGGGTTATAAACCTAATCTCAACAAATTTCAAAGAAATAAAATCATATACAGTATATTCTCTGACCATGGTAGAAATTAATAACAAAAAGACAATTAGAAAATCCTTATGTTGAAAAAAATTTAAATCTATGTCTAAATAACTCATGAGTTAAAGAAATTATAATGAAAATTAGAAAGCATTTTGACCTGAATGATAATGAAAACTCTATGTATCCCAACTTATTGAGGTTCAGATTTCAGTAATGGCAGAGTAATCCTCCCACATCTAATGATTATAAATCTGAACAAAATATAACATCAAACTACTTAAAGGCTTTGGAGAGGCCAAAACAGGCCTAAACTGAAAAAGGTTGGACTCTTGGAAGAAATGAATGGCAATGGGTGAGTATAACATTTACAAGACATACACCCTAAGGGGACTGCTCTAAGGGGACTCCCTAGTATCCATGACACAACACAGCTAGAATTCAGACACAGTCTTATTAGCCTGAAGTGTCAGAGAGAATGGAGTCTGGAGCTATCGGTGGCTGGAAATTGAGAAACTAAGTTCCTAAAAGAAGGGCACTACATGGGAGTGCCCCAAAACCTGGGCATTAACTCTGCTCAGATTCTCAGTTGACCCCTAGGGGTGCCTGCAGGAGCCTCCAGAAGCCCAGCAGGTAACAGCCAGAAGCTCAAAGAGCTGGGCATAGATTTTAGCTCTGCCCACTAGAAGGGAGACAGAATTTGGAGTCTGAGATTCTTTATGTTAAAGGAGCTTGATAAAAAAACAATTTAGGCCCTGGCTGGCATGGCTCAGTGGATTGAGTGTGGGCCTGCGAACCAGAGTATCGAGGTTCAATTCCCAGTCAGGGCACTTGCCTGGGTTGCAGGCCGGTTCTTGGCGGGGGATGCGTGAGGGGCAGCCATACACTGATATTTCTCTCCCACTCTTTCTCCTTCCCTTCCCCTCTCTCGAAAAATAAATAAATAAAATATTTAAAAAAAAACAATTTAGGCTTTTCATTGAAACCACAAGAAACGATGTTATTAGCATATAACTAAATTATCATCTGAAATTTAGCACCTCCCACCCAGTGTTAGCATTTCATGAAAAGTTCTCATTTCGGGCACATGGATGAACTGACACAAGCAATGACCACAGTCTGGCCAGCTGACCAGAGTTTGGGGACAGATCTGGGATTCATATTTCAGTTCTATAATCCAGGGATTTGATACGTACAATTTACTTTCAGCTTAATCAGTCCTTTTGAATATGAACCACAAATAGGGCAGGTGCTAGGAAATGCCAACTAGACACATCCTACAGTCTGTACTCTAAAAACAGCTGCAAAAACTTAAAGCATGATTCATACTCATCACGATCTGTGACTACCTTCTGATTGTGACCTCTATCCCTCATCAGTTCCCTATTTGACTGTGAGTTGCTTGATAATTTCTGAAAATGTGTGATTCTGTTGAATTAAGAACAATTCATGGATAGAAAATGAACACAGATTCCAGCTGCCACCTGTGGGATCCATAACCGTGGACTACCTGAACCACCTGAGCCAGAGAAACAGTGTTCTTATTTATTCCTTGCTGCTTCTAGTTCCTTGGATTCAGTATTTTTTATCTCAGTAAATAAAGCCTTTTTTGTTTCTAGAAGGCAGAATTCTTACTCCAAAACGTGCTTAGTTTGAGAAAATAGTTTAATTTTCTTCATGTCTCTGTGACCAAGCAAAGTAACTGCTTCAACATGAATTAAATGTTAAAAATCTGCTTCTATTTCCTCCCAAACAGGTAATGATTGAGGGTAAGAGTAGACATAAAATGTGAAATACTGATGACTTCTTCTGTTACAACACAATTAACCTGATGTCAACTTTGTACACACAGTATCCCAATGGGTAAATTAATAATACATAAAGTAATTGCCTGTGGGTTTAAGTGTCATCTCCACAAATTACTGAACTCCTAAGGCTCAATTTCTATCCATAACAGAAGAATCATGATACTGAAAAGGCTAAAAATTCATAGCTATTCAAATATTTACAAAGTACCTAATATTTTATAGAAACTAATTCTAGATACAGAGGATACAGTAGAAAAAATTCTATCCTATGGAACTTACATTTCAGTCAGAAAAAAGACAAAAACAAAATAAATAAGATACATAGTGTGTTAAATGATGACAAGTGCTATGCAGAATAGTAAAGCATGGAGGGAGCAGGTGAGAAGCAGGTGGGATGACTGTGACCTTCAATAGGAAGACGGGGAAAGCACCAGTAAGGGGTGACATTTAAAGGAAGAGTTAAAGGGACTGAGAAAGTTATTGTGCATATATCCAGGGAAATATGTGCTAGGCAGGAGGACCAGCTAGTACAAAGGTCCTAGGGGTATGAACATGTTTAGCACAGCAGGAGAAAGGCAAAAGTTCAGAATGTTTGGTTAAGAGAAAGAGAAACAGTGAAAGGATATGAAGTTGAAGAATTCTGAGAATAGGATGGGAAGACAGAACAAATCAGATAGGACCCTGCAGGTCACCATAAGCACTCTGACTTTTACTGTGATAATGTGTAAAGTAGGTGAGTTAACAGGAAGCCAATGAGCAAAATCATGCTATTCTCTAAAATGCATTTCAACAGGATCCCTCTAGCTGGCACTTGGTGAATAGCCTATAAATAGGCAAGGGTAGACACAGCAAGCCTGATTACAGGATATTACAATGATCCCAATAAGAGATGACAAAATGTAATTGCAAAAAAGGTGTGAGACTTTGGATATAGTCTAAAGATAGAGTCAAGAGGATTTGCTGATGAAATGAATGTGCAATATGAGTCAGAGAAATGCTAAAGATGATTCAAAGGCTTTTTCCTTGAGGAACTTGAAGGAGAGAGTTGCCATTAACTAAAACATGAAAAGCCATTAAAAAAGCATGTTGAGATACCTGGAGTTCAGTTTTAGAGACAGTAAGTTTGAGATGCATTCAGACATTAAGATAATTATTAAGGTATTAATTTAACTGTTGGATATATGAAAGTGTTAAGCATAAAGATGACATTAAAAACCATGGGACTAGAGCCCTGGCCACTGTGGCTCAGTTGGGTGGGGCATCATCCCATGGACTGAAAGGCTGCAGGTTCGATTCCCAGCTGGGATACATACCTGGGTTACAGGTCTGACCGCCTGTCAGGGAGCATATGAGAGAGCAACTAGTCAATGTTTCTCTCTCAAATCTATGTCTTTCTCTCTCTCTCCCTACACCCCCCTTCCTTTCTCTACAAGCAATGACAAAAAAAAAGTCCTCAGGTGAGAATAAAAAAAACCAAAACCACACATGGGACTAAATGAGGTTACCAAGTAAATTTAAATGAGTGCATAGAGAAAAAAATCCAATGTTACAACAAAAGGTGAGAAATATATCTGCAAAGTTGAGGAAAAAAACATGAAAGAGTTTGCAAGAAAAGCAGGAGAATGTGCTGGCCTAGAACCAAGTGAGGAAAGTGTTTCTAAGAAAGAGTGTAATTACCTTGTGCAGTTTGCTATCAACAGAAGTGACATGAGGGCCGAAATGCTTTAACCGGCAACCTTAACATAAGTGTCTGCAGAGTAGGAGAGAGAAAACAAAAAATTCAAAAAGGAATGAGAGAAGAGAAATGGGAGACCATGAGTAATGACAATTATTCATAGAAATTTTGCTATAAAGGAGAGAAAAAGAAAGGAGAAATAACTTAGCTGAATACGGAGCCAATAGAAGGATTTTTTTAAATAATGAAAGAACAATATTTATGCAGACTGATAGGAATGCTCTGTAGAGAAAGGGAAATTGAGGATTTTGAGAAAATTCATGAAATAGGCAGAGAAGAACGACTGGAACCATATCTTTAAAGAGGTGACAAAGAGGGAAGGAGTCTACGTAGAGAGGTTGACAGGAACCCTTACATTCATTCAAAACCGGGAGGAAGAGTGAGAGCACTGATGTGGAACACGGATACATGCGGTGGTGAGAGCTTGTCAGAGTTCTCTAGTTGCATCTATCTTCTGAATAAAATTTGAAACTAGATTATCAGCAAGAGTAAGAGTAGAGAAGGCAGAGTTCAGAGAAAAGAAGGAATGA